CTGCCAACTCAGCATGATCGAGCATTGAGATGGTGGAAGTGGAGAAGCCGTTGACCCACCCCCTCGGTTTAACCTTCGTTTGACCAGGCCATACAATTTCTCCAAGAACTTGGCTAGAGCTCGACCGGTTAGCCTTCTTGTCATAAAAAAACTCTGGAGGCATAACCGAGAGGCCAGAATAGTTCGACCAGTATCCAACCTGTCTGTAACCCTTCCCAACCACATTCAGAATATCAAAAGCGGGCTGGACCACAGATTTATCTTCATTGAACGCGACCCGGCCCGTCAAGCCCGTCCTGTTCGTCCTCAGTATGTATTCAAGAACCCGACTCCCCCCATCAAACCTGCTCAAGGCAGCAAGATTCAACTTTCCCCTCCCCAACCCGTACAAATTCGGTCTGTTCGTGAACGAGATATTCCCACCATGCTCGAGAAACAACTTAACCGCATTCGCAATCGTCCAAACCGTATCGTACGCGTAAAAGCCATACGCGGTCAGCCCAATCGACCCGTTGCTCAATTTTCCCCATTTAGACACAAACGACCTTTTACGCTTGGAATCCGGCGTGTGGGGCCGCAAAGCAATAACCCCCTGCATGAATCCCGCATCCTTCTGTCCAAAAGTGGGGTCCGACTCGATCACGGTCGAGAGCCAGGCTGTCGCGATCCATACATAGCCCCGTGACATCATCCGCAGCTCGTGGGCCAAGCCCAAGACCCGGAGCCCAACAACAGCATACGCGTGGACCACGATCACACGAGACTCGACCATCGAGACTTTCACAAGCTCGGCCATGATCTCGGAACTACTGGCCAGGGTCTCGGGCGAGAGAACGGCCTTGTGGGAGATTTTGCAGCGCCTCCCGGCTAGCTCGTCGCTCAAGGCAGATATGGTGCCCCGGCTCTGGTCATCGTCTGTGTAGATGACCACGACTTCCTTGAAGCCCAAGAAGCTCACAAGGTCGGCTATGGCCGTCATCTGCTGGAGATCATTGGGGGCCGTCTGGATGAAGTAGGGGAACTGAAGGGAGGAGAGGGTGGGGTCAAGGGCCGTGAACGAAAGCATTGGCACGTGTAGCTCGTTTGCTAGGTGGGAGAGGATGTGGGCCGTGCCTGAGACCTGGGGCCCGATGATTGCCACTGTGTCGGTCTCCATGAACCTCAATCCTGTGTTTTGTTTTGAAGGTATTTTTTTCAATTACTACTAACAGGTTTGGGAAGAAAATAAGCATGAACAAGAACACACACACACACACACACATACATACATATACCTCCAATAATGCTAAGAAAGCCACTGTAATTCGAATCATATGAGGAGAGGTTTAATTTTCTCCCACCAAGAAATTTAGGATCAGAGTTGACATCTTCAACGGCAGCATTCATTGCGATTTTCGCAACCCTCCCGTTAATAGTGCTGAATGCAAAAATGGCTCCAATGTTCACAACATCAGAACCCGTTGAATCATTTGCTGAAAACACCCCACCGAATGGAAGAAAACATGAAAGCACCACCAAGACCATTACACACAACTTCATTGCTGGTGAGAAAAACACATACAAATATTTGGAAGGCTTACAAGGGAATTGTGATGTTAAAAGCTCAGAACCCACAAACCAAGAATCTTGACGAGGGCCATAGTAAATTCACAAGAAACACACTTATTGAGACTACTGAAGAACAATATGTTGATTATCTTCAGACAGAGAGGGCCATAGTAAATTCAAAAGAAAACTGCCACACAACACCTTTTGAAGGGGAAGCATCAATTCCCGCGTAATTATAGAACAAAAACAAATCCACAAGCTTCACTTGGAAAAAAAAAAAAAAAAAAAAAAAAAAAAAAAAAAAAAAAAAAAAGAGGAGCCCAGAATTAAAAATTACTTAAAAAGAATATATTGTGGAGCATATAAACTAATTTATCAAAAAAAAGGTAAAAAGGTAGCAGAAAGCCTACTTGCCCAACAGTGGGAAATTTCAAAGTTTCAAAATTTCAGATGAAGAGAGGAATACTTTGATGAGGATACAGAGAATAGGACAAACTTGTTCAGATAGACTTCCTCTGGTTTTTCACCATTATTATACTAATTCTTGGCTTGTCCTTTTTTTTTTTTGTTTTCCTGATGATTGTCATGATGGTGGAGAAGGTGAAGTGGGGGAAAGTAAAGGGGGAATCTTTTTAAACAGTAAAATAATTTAGAGGAAGATCAAATGGTAGCTAAAATTACATGGAGTTATTTGAATTATCAGTTCCCAAATATATGGCCTACATCGCACATCATTCCTACGGTTAGGCTTTTTAGCTTATCATCTAATTTTCGCAATTCAATTCATTTTATCTAGGAATAGTTGCTAAAATGTTTGCCCTTCCACGTTATGGTGTTTACATTAAAAAAAATCAACTAACATGAAAGTTTGGGAGATGCTGCGGTTCTCTTACGGAACTATCTCGTCAAAGTTTGTAATCGTTAAGTCAACTATTCTCGACGGTTACATGATAATTGATAATTCAACGATTACTAACTCTGACAGAATGGTTCCGTACCGAAACTGTAGTATTACTATTTCCCGTTGGATTACTGTTGCAGTTACCTCCAATTATTAATGAGTTAGAATTACAAGACATTATTTTACGTGTCGTATACATATACTATAAAAATAACATATTTATGGGCTGCCATTTGGGTTATTCTCCCAAGGATTCCGGATGTTACCTGTTGTTATTTGCTTGTAATTATGTGTTCTATTTATGAAAGTCTGCCGTTCAAAGTCTTCAGAGAGTCTTCCCTCTAAGCGATCGACGAGGCCCTCTAGTGGCGATCTTCAAGGGTTATTACGTAATTCGATCATTTATGTATGTATAAAAGGATGATATATATAGTATTCCATCAATAAGGTATGATATGAGCTAAACATCTCGTGTGATAGGTTATTTTCAGGGCTTAACCAACTAATTTAGGCTATGTTTGATAGACAAATAATTAACTTATAGCTTATTTGACTAATTTATAAGTTCCTTGTATTTAAATAAGTCACGTTTGGTAAGACGGGCCTTTTTAAAAAGCTCGAGCTTATTTGATAATCTTTTTTAGTAGTTTTTCGAATAAGGTAGTTAAATTTTTATTCCAGCTAGCTTATGATCAGCTAATTTTACCAAATACTTTTATCATATAAACTAGTTTTTCAGCTATAAGTCATAAGCTATAAGCTCAAAAATTACTGATAAGCTATAAGCTAACTTATCAGTTTATCAGCTAGTTTTACCAAACATAATCTTAAATACATTGAATTTGTATTAATCCGCTTGATATCCCTCTTATTAAGCCCAACCTAGCGCAATTTAGAGTAAGACATTTCAGTTTGAAAGTATACATATATCTCTTAAGGAAATATAGTTGTTAATTTACCTAATGGATTTGCTACTTTGTCACCCTCCATTACAACATGGTGTACAACCATGTGTAATGGAGGCATTAAAAAATACAACAATGCACATTTTTCAATGTCTCCATTACACATGGTTGTAAACCATGTTGTAATGGAGGGTGGCTATGTAGCATCACCCAATATTAGGCTGCCTCTAGAGATCTAGGCGTTTTTAAAAAACATGCATAAATTCGTATGCAAGAAACATACATTATTAAATAACATAAATAATAGTATTAATACCCATGTACAACATGTGTATTGAGTTAATGAATATATGTGTAAAGTTATTTATGTCTAATACTAAATTTAACTTCAGAGCAAAAATAATATAAAAACAACATCAGGAAGTATAGATTTTCGCCGTGTCAGCATCCGAAGCGTAAGAATCTGCCACCTCAGGTCAACACGTTTTGATTTAATATACAGTGAGAATCTGCCACCTAAGGTCAACACGTTTTGATTTAATATACAGTGAGTGATAAGTTTAACATTTTATTGTATAAGTAAGCATTGATAGTAAAGAAAAAAAAAAATATGACATGAATGGACGCGTCTAATCTGACTCAAGTAAAAAAGTTGTGTTTAAATATTAATATAACCCTTCATATATAGCTTTGTCTTATTGATGTTACTGAGCTAAAGTAATTTGTAGACAAATAAGTGAAGTTTTATAATATACTGAATGTGAAAATCAAAATATGAAAGAAGAAATTGACACTATTTGGAGCATTATTTTTGACAGACAAGGAGAGAAAATTGATGGCATTGTTTCTGATAGTGAATGAAATTGTCACGTTTTCTCCTTGTCAAAATTTATAATATAATATTGTGTATGTTTAGTGAGAGGGAGGGACCCTTGATTAGGTGGATAAATATAAGAAACCAATTAAATTAACGATTTTGCTATGAAGCCAATAATTAGTTCTATAGTGAAACCAACTTTCTATATATAACAATAGACTTATCATATTAATAAAATTATATTAATGTTATTTAAGTATTCAGAAAATATGGCAGGTTTACTTATTATATATAGAAAGTTGATTCCACTATGAAGCACATTGTAAGCTTCATAGCAAAATCGATTAAATTAATGCCCTTTCTTGAAATAAATGTGGGGGGTCCCCATCTTCTCATTTGTGGGAATTTTAGGATTTGATGGTGAAGTAAATATTTTAAGGAGCAAGAACAACCAATCGTTATGGCCACAAACTTCTACATCCAAATTAAATCATTTCTCCAATGAAAATTCATTTAATCTTAAGTATAATATTAAGAGTTGTTTTATAAGTTTAGTACGCTTTTTAAATTTAAAAAAAAAATGTAACATTCAAAATAAAATCATACATAAACTATTGATAAAGTAGTTATGAATAAAAAAATACAATTTAAAAATAAATGAAAAAAAAACAAGAAATCAATTATTCAATAAACTGTAAAAGTCATAAATAGAAGTATATTATTTTGGATTGCACGACAAAGTCCAGCGATTTTTTCCTATGTTTATCCCTCTCGCGCCTCTCGCTTTGTCCCGATCTGACCTCTTCCGGCGGCAGCGAGGCCGGATCTGCGGCTGCCCCTGGCCGCCCTTTCCTTCCCTGGCATCGTTTCTACTCGGTTTCGCAGCCATGGCTTCTTCTTTTGTCTCTCCCGTTCGTTGGTGGGTGGGGGACCGGCGGCGATTCCCAGTTATAATCGGGGCTCGTCGGAGCTGCTCGTTGCGGTTGGGAGCCCCGTTTGTTGTTCTCTGCCTTGGTCTGGTTTGTTTGGTGGGCTTGGTGCAGGGTGCGTTTTGGGGGTTAGGGTTCGATTGGGGCTCAGCAGTTTCTCCAGCGAGGACGACTATCTGGGCTTGTTTCGGCCCGATTAGATGCCTGGGGTTGGTGGTTCAGGGCATGGTTTGGGTTTTGGGGCGCTTAGCAGAGGTTTGGTTTCCTGGCAGGTGGTTGGCAGTAGGGACGGGAGGGAGAAAGTGAGCCTGCGGCTGTGGTGGCGGGAAAGCGATGGTGGTGGTTGGGAGGGGCTCTTGGGGCTGCTGTGTGTTGTGCGTGGCTGTTGCCGGAGTTGGGGTTCGGGCAGGGAGCGATTATCCATGCGCATCTCCTTTTGGGTTGCTAGGGATCCGGTAAACCGGAGATGAGCTAGTGGTGTTAGTCTAGCTCGGGTTCATCCAGTTGGGGGTGCTAGGTCGGTTCTCCTCGGTCAGTGGGTTCTGTCTTTTGGGTTGGGTTCGGGGGCGGGGTCCCACCTCTTGTTAGGCCTTCAGCAGTTTCGGGAGTTGGGACTTGGCTAGGTACCTAACCTAGAGTCGATTGTAGCTGCTTCTTCGGTTTAGTCGGTTCTCCGGGGGAGGGTCGTTTAGTTTTCTACTTCCGGGTTTGTTTTGTAGGTTGTCCTTTTATTTTGCTCAATGTGTTTGTTCATTTTTGTTTTGGAGATGAATACATGCTAGGCATTGTGCAGTGGCTCTGTTTTTCATTTTCCTTTATTTTTCGTTTGTGGAGTTCTCTAGGCCGCAATGTGCGTGTCCTCTCAGGTTTCTATTCCTGTTTGTTTTTAGGAGTGTTTTTGGTTTGGGCCGTTGGCCCCTGTCTTATTACCCTGTTGGGGCCTTAGATTACCCTGTTGGGGTCTTGTAATTTGTTCCTTTGCACTTTTGTGTTCTTATAAATTATCTCTATCGTTCCGGAAAAAAAAAAAAATAAACTGTAAAAGTTATTATATATGTGTGCAAATAGGCATAATATGTGTGCAAATAAGCTATGCAAGAGAGAGAGAGAGAGAGAGAGAGAGAGAGAGAGAGAGAGAGAGAGAGAGAGAGAGAGAGAGAGAGAGAGAGTATTATTTATTGACAATGTTTGACTATGTTAAATTTCTATTATATTTAAATATAAACATGAACTCTAAAATGTCAACTATTTTATAACGAGTGAAATAAACATATAAATTATATCCGACTATTACATATCCTAAATATATATATATATATATATATAATATTGATATTCATCATTCTTTCATTGGTTTAATATACGTTGTTTATAATTATTGTCACGTACTAGTTATCTTCAATGGTACTTGGGTCTTTGGATGCTAAGACCTATTTTTC